TTGATGGGGAAGGGGCAGTCGCTCAGTCGTGCCCGACTCTTTGTGACCCCATGTGAGCCTGAACCAAGCTCCTCCGTCCATGGGATTTTCTAGGCAAGAATACTGAAGTGGGTTGCCATTTCCTTCTCCTTCAATTTTTACCTACATTTGTCTAATTAAAGGGATATTAACTTCTCAGAGCAAAAAACTAGGTGAACCACAGTAACAAGTAATACCAAGAAACCACATAATCAAATTGATTTCTAATTAAAAAAAAAAACCAACCTTTATTATAATACATCAAGTCTCCAAACACTTCAAATTTCATGTTGAAAAATTAAAATCTATGGAGAATTTAAAGTATGAAGAGAGAAGCTTCTAGCTAAATAAAGCATTCTTTCTCAAATTTAGAATTTATTACAAAAATTAATATAAATGAAAATAAACTTTTTAAAAGTTCTCCTTTTAAAAGTTTGTACTCCTAAAATCACATCAGATTCCTTGCTGTTCAGCAAACAGAATAAGTATACTCTGGCCTTATGATTTTCTTCCTCACTGTTCTACATGGTGGAATAACTCTGCCCCTGAAACCTATCTGCAAGTCTCTCTTCTTTACTTCAGATGCTGGCTCACATGTCTATTACTGTATCAGAGAAGCACCCTGTGACTCTGTTTAAAGTACCATCTCCATCAGCCTCTATCCCTATCTCTCTCTATATATATATAATATATATATATATTTTTTCTTCATAGCATATACTACTACTAGGTATACCATATGTTTATTTTCTGGCTACCCTCACAGGAATATAAGCTCCAAACAATGTGGGGACTATTTTTGGTTGTTGTTGATTGCCATACCTCAAACACTTAAGAGTGCAAAAAACACAGATGTTCAACACATAGCTGTTGAATAATAGTGTCTTTTTCAAACTAAGCCCTACATCCTTAACATTAATTGAATCTAGGTCGTCTTAAACTCATAATGATTCAGCTGTATCATTTTAAAGTGAAGACTTTCTTTGCTCCTGTATGATGAATTTCAGGGTTAGGACCTGGTGCCACTGTCCTCCTTGTCTCCAAAAATAAATGCTCCTTTGAAGCTAATGTTATCAGCTCTACCACCGGTCAGTCCTTTCTAGCTCATTTCAGTTGCTCTCTTTTATTATCAACTTTAGTTCCTCTTTACTATCGTGTTTTCCCTTTTCAAGACTATATACGGTCATTTTCACTGACTTCAAAAAAATACACGTAGATGATCCATCCAACAGCATACTCAATTTTGTGTCAGTGGGTTTTTTTGTTTTATTTTTGCTTTATCTCTAGCACTTCTTTTTGGTTCTTTCTTAGGATTTCCACTCTCTGCTTCCATTACCCGGGTGTTCTTCCATGATGTCTACTTTTACCAGTCAGAGCCCTTCGTATACTAAACATAGTTGTTTTAAATTTCCATTCCAATAATTCCAACATCTTTGCCATGTCTGGGTTTGATGCTCTTTCTCTTCAAATTATGTTTTTTGCCTCTTGACATAATTGGTAATTTTTCACTGATAGCTGGATATGTTACATTAGGTAAAAGAAACTGCAGTAAATAAATCTTTAGCAATGTGGCAGTGATGTGGGGGTGGGAAGGCGAAGCATTCTAGTCCTATGGTTAGGTATCAGTCTTTCAGTGAGTCTACGCCTCCAGACTGTGTACTTCATAGTGTTTCTCAGGTTTTTCTTTTTCTGCCTTCTTGGGTGGGACAGGATGGCTAGAGTGCTCTGAAGTTGGGTATTTTCCTCACTCTAGGTCAGTTAGGCTCTGATAATATCCTAGGAGACTGGGCTCTGGTTAACTAGTTTCCCCCAAGGGCAGGCATTCTTTAGACCAGAGTGCTCAGAGATATTTCAGAATGGGTCCTTTTCTTCCTGCTGGAAGCTCAGGAAGATTTTTTGTCAGATATTTACTGTGGGAACTCCTGGAGGTAAATTTTAGGATTTTGTCTTCCCCACCCTCCATGACTGAGTTCCCTGAAGTTTTAACTTTTTAAGAGTTGTCTGCACTGAGCTTCCAGCAATTCACAATTATAGTTCAGATTTTCTTTTCCCGGATGGTTCCCACAGTGGTTTATGCTCATCTCTGCTTAGGTAAACTGTAACTACCAAAATTCTCCTGTCTCTCCAATCTGGGGACAGAGATCTGTCCTGACTCCTCTCCCCACACTTACGGATCCAAGAAAAGTTGTTGATTTTTCACCCCGTTAAGACAAAGTGAAAACTTGTAAGCTCTTTACATGCAGAACCAGAAACAAATGTAATTCTTTAACTTCCTTGCCTCCAAAGACTATTACATAGCTTCAATTCATATCTTAGACTAACCCTAGACCATGTAAGCCCTGATAACTGCACTACCCATGAAATGTCAGTTTGGGGCATCTTACTCGGTCCACCGCCTCACTTTACACTGGCAATAAGTCTTTGGCCTCTTAGAGATGTCCAGTGCACTGATGCTCCACCTCCCACTACTTTTTAATTATCTGTGTTTACTCCCATGTTTACCCAGTTTGGATTTCTTGGTTCATCATTATATTCATTCTTTTTCAAGCACAATAACTACCTTGGCTCCCACATCTCTGTCTGTTGAATTCACTTAACAAAACCCCAAACCTGCTTGACCTCAATTTGGTTCTTTGTGCAGAAAACCAAGCAATTTAAAGAAACAATACAATTAGCTGAATGACTTCTCTTTTAATTCATAACCACAGACTGCAAATTAGCACTCAAGATAACCTGGCAATCCTACTGTGCTTCCCTAGGAAGTTCATGTTCACATTTTCTAAGGTAAAAATGTCATTTTTTCCTGTTATGTCAAACTCCTTTACTCTGCCTATTTGCAGTTGATGATCCTACTTCATAATTCATTATGAACACAGAAACCATGAGAGGATTTACTTCATATTCATTCCAATAAATACCCGTACCTCTCTGTATCTGTACTCAGCTTCTTAGCCTTCTTTTCCGTTCAAAATGGAAAGAGTATCATTTTTCCTATTATGGGCAGTTCTACCTCTTAATACCTATAGTTTCTTTTCTTCTCAATATTTTGTTTCTTCAGTTATTCCATTTGACTACTGCACATCATCAAATTTTCCTTCTCTGCTTCTTATTCATGCCAATCTGCCAATGTACATATGTCCTACTTAAGAAAAAAAATTCCTTCTATGACTTCCTCCATCCATCACACCTCTCTGACCTTCTCACAACAAAGGTTACACATACACACATTTATACATATACACAATTTTTATAACAAAAAATAGCATTCCTCTCCCACTTCTCAACTATCTTCAATATTTCTAGCACTTTTATGTCTCATTTCCAAATAACATGCTTGTTTTGCTATTTATCAATGAACATAGATAGTAATGAATGGTAAATGAGGATCTCAAATGTTAACACTCCCAGTTTATGTTGTTTCCATCTTGTCTACATCTCCAAAGCTAGTCCTCTAATTTTAACAGCCATTATACTTAGAGTAGGTTTCTAAGTAAATAGCTAGTGTGTGGAGAGTCACGCCTGCTACTACTACTATCCATTTTATACATAGCAACTAGAACAATCTTGTTGAAAGCAAATCAGATTATGTTATTCTCTGGTGTAAAAAACTTTCAATGGCATTCTGTCATGTTTGGAATTAAAACTCAAATGCTTTCCATGCCTACAAGGCTCTAGATCAATGGAGGTTCCTTGACTGGTCTCTTCAGTCTCAGGGTCAACCCAGCTTCTCACTATGCTTCAGTTATATTCACCTCCTTCAGTTCTTCACATGTAACAAACTCTTCCTTACCTTAGGGTCTTTGCACTTGTTCTCCTTCCTACTCTTCTCATAGTTCTTGCCATAGTACACCCCACCTTACTCTTTCAGTTATAGCTTGAAGAGCCTTCTCTGACCACCCATTACTCTTTCCATCTAATAATGTCTTTCTTTACTCTGATATTACACTATTTCTCCTTTATAAAATCCATCCCAATTTGTGAGCTTATTTCCTCACTCATCTCTCTCTTCTCCCCCTTTTCCAAACTAGAATGTCAATTCCAAGTAAGAAACCCCGTGTTCATCTTGACACTATTTTCCATATAACTAGCCCTAGGATAGGTATATAAAGATCATACAAGAAATACTTCAATTAATTCTGGAGTCTGTAGACTATAAATTTAACTAGCTTGCCAAAGCATATATTGTACCCAGTAGGAGATAGAAAACTGTTGTTTAGTCACTAAGTTGTGTTTGCCTCTTTGTGACCCCATGGACTATAGTCCCCCAGGCTCCCCTGCCCATGGGGCTTCACAAGCAAGACTACTGCAGTGGGCTGCCATTTCCTTCTCCAGGGGATCTTCCTGACCCAGGGATCGAACCCAGGTCTCCTGCATTGGCAGATGGGTTCTTTTCTGCTGAATCATGTAAAGATGTGAGAATTGGAACATATGAAGGAGGCTGAGTGGTGAAAATTTGATGCTTTAGAACTGCAGAGCTGCAGACTTTGAGGGTTCCTTGGACAGCAAGGATATCAAACCAGTCAACCCTAAAGGAAATCAACCCTGCATGTTCATTGGAAGGACTAATGCTAAAGCTGAAGCTCCTTACTTTGGCCACCTGATGTGAAGAGCTGACTCATAGGAAAAGATCCTGATGCTGGGAAACACTGAAAGCAGGAGGAAAAGGGGATGACAGAGGAGGAGATGGTTGGATGGCATTACCCACTCAATGGACCTGAGTTTGAGCAAAGTCCAGGAGATGGTGAAGGACAGGCAACACTAGTGTGCTGCAGTCCATTGGGTTGCAAAGAGCTGAACACCACTCAGTGGCTGAACACCATCACCAGAGAAGTCCTTGTAAACAAGAGGCCCTTGAAATCTTATAAGGCATGAGTTAATTGACCCACTGCCAAGTCAGATATTTGAAAATCTGTCTGTACCCAATTTGAATTCTCTGGTACTGAGTCCTCCAGGGCCACTCTTGACAAGGACACTATGATTCTTCATTTGGTGTAAGGATACCCACTTCTAGCTGGTGCAGAATCTTTTGTACTGGAAAACAGGTGTTTGAGGGCTGGAGGTAGTCCTGCGGTCCCCTGGTGGCTCACATAGTAAAGAATACACCTGCAATGTGGGAGACCTGGGTTCAATTCCTGAGTTGGGAAGATCCCCTGGAGGACATGGAAACCCACCCCAGTATTTTTGCCTGGAGAATCCCCATGGACAGAGGAGCCTCGTGGGCTACAGTCCCTGGGGTTGCAAAGAGTGGGACACAACTGAGCAACTAAGCACTGCACAGTTTGTGGTCTGAGTCTCCTTTGGGATTTCATGGCATGCAACTGCTCTACTGTGGAGGAGTGCCTGCTAATTTTCTTTTATGGGGATTCCTTTCGTATTTAGCTAATGTGGAAGACTTTAGTGGGTCTGGCTTCTCCTTGTCAATTCTTCTGGACTTCTGTTTCTTAGCAACAGTTGAGACTGTCCATCCCCACTGTTCTCTGCTTTAGCCTCAAAGCAAACAAGAGAAGAAAACAGGCAAGGCAGTTTGCAGTCTGCCACTTAGTACTATACCCAGACACTGCAATCCAATCCTAGCAGCTACTGATAGACAATGTGAAGGATCACCACACTTTTGTGAGGCCTGACAGGTTATGGGAACTGGAAAATGTTTTGGAGAAAGCTGAGGAACTGGAGTCCTTAATAGCACTTATTCTTCCATGAGAGTCCTATTCCTAAAATTTCATTTTCTGGTATTCAGTATCAAAACTTTAGTGTTAGAAATAGGTGGGAATAAATTACGTTGTAATTCAATAAGCCCCTTCAGTCACTTCTTGACCTGGTTGTATATTCTCAGACCAAAGGCAAACTGACTTCTAATAATCTGCTAAATTTAGCACAAGTCACTCCAATCTACTTTCATCTAGGCACTTTTTTGGGGAATTCTTTTCAAATATACTTTTCAAAACTCCACACATAGAAAGCAATGGACCAATGTTTTATATTTGGCTACCAAGATCTCCGTGTCCCACAGCAGTGACTATATTAGTCTGAATTCTAAGACAACACCAGAGAAAGCCTGGCTAAAAGATTCACTGCTGTGTAACAGAAGCTAATAGTTTACCATCTTAAGGCAGGAAAGTCTCTATTGCCTGCAGCCCTACCTTGATTCACTCAGTTTCAGTTTCTCTTAACTTTATTATTTGCATTCCCATTCCCAGTCAAATTAGAGAAGGATTCTTTCAGTTGCATTGGCTGCTCCACTTGGGCAAACATGAAATTTTATTATAAGAATAAATTATAATAAATAATTCAAAGGTAAGGAGCAGATTCCTCTTCACAAGGGACTAAGATCAGGAACTGGAAAATTATTAGGAATCAAAGCAGCTATTTGGTCTGACATGTCAGCACTGCTTCATGAAAACACAGACTGGAATCAAACTGCCCAAGTTTTATTTTAGCTTCAAAAAAAAAAAAAAGAGAGAGAGAGAGAAAAGGAAATAAAAATATTTCATTTACTTCTCAGTTTCCTTACCTGTAGAGAACATAACTCTGATTGTTCATGTGCTGCTCTCAAAGTAGCCCTGGCCTAATTTTATGTTTCTCAGTAAAAGATCAGCTGTCTGATACTCTCTCAGTCCCAATTTTAAATTCTCAGAACAATCTGATTGGTTCAGACAGGGTTCAGCTGTTCACCCTAGGTAAAGCTAGGATAGTGTTACTATGACACATTTTGCAAACCTAAGTGATATAAAGGTAAGAAGCAATTACCTTAGGACACAACTTGCTAAGGGATGCACAAAATTAGTGGAGATAAAGCACAGATGCTCAGAGACACAGTTCAAGGTATGATGACTTGATGCTGACAGGCTGAGTGTCTTTCCCGAGGAAGGAGTTTAGAAGTGCCACTCTCACTGCACAGGGTACATGCCACCTGCTTTAACAGCTCACTGCAAAACAAATGCTGAATGCTATTTTCACTTTTTGTGTTATTTTGTAAAAACAAAAATCCTCCTTGGATTTCTTGTTTAATGAAAACAGGTATCAAGGTACATTTTTCATAAAAGTGAAATGGCGTCAAGTGAACTTGCAGGGGATTCCTGTACATGTATATAGCTGCTGAGGCCCACCCTGAATGTCTGTGGCTATTTCTCAGTAGTAGGGGATCATGAACCAAGCCTAAACTTTTTAACAATTTCTTTTATATTTCTCCCAACTCATCCTCTGTTCTTCCACAGTCACAAAAATTCCCAATGTAAGGGACTTGCCTTAAGTCATATAGTAATAATCAAGATGTGCTTCAAAACTAGGTCTGATGTCAAATCCAAAATTTATTTTCATTAACAGTGCACTAGAGTTGTTTGTACCTGTTGAGAACTTGTTAGGTAGCTGACCCTGTGTTTAACCAAGTGTTTAAGATAATAACACTTCAAGCAGTTCAAAATTAGGCTTCCTTATTTTTTTTTCATAATTAACTAATTTTTAAAATGGGGTACATCACATATAAAGTTCACAAAAATTTAAATATTCAGCTTGATGAACTTCATATGTATGCTATCATTTAACAACCAGTAAGATCAAGATCCAAAACATTTCCATCATTTCACAAGGCTCTCTTGTGCCCCTTCTAAGTCAATACCCATACCCAGAGAGGTACCTACTATCTTGACTTCTATCATCATGAATTAGTTTTGTTTGTCCTTGAGTTTCATAAAAATGGAATTATACAATATGAATTGGGTTTTGTCTATTTCATTTAACAAATACCTATGAGATCCATCTATGTTATGGTGTGTAGCAATTTATTCTTTTTTATTGCTGTGTAGTAATCCATTGTACAAATACACTTCACTTTGTTCCTGTTTGAGGCCATAATGAATCAAACTACTATGATCATCCCTATATAAGTAGAAATCTGCACTCATTTTCTTGGGTATACACTCAGAAGAGAAATTGCTGAATTATACTCCTAGATTCAACTGTAACAAATACTGTTGCAATATTCATAAAATATATCAATTTCCCAAAGTGACTACAACCAATTTATACACCAACAGCAATGAGTTTCAGCTGGACTTTTTTAACAAAATAATGCTATCAATCTATTGTGCTAGTCACACTGCTTAGTTCTACGAATGTATTTTATTTGAGGCTCTTTTGTTGCTGTTTATAAGCAAGGCTAAGCTGTTAGGTACAGCTAAGTTGTCAGGTAGATCCTTATTCATTACCATTCTTACTAAACCACAGGCCCCACCTGTTAAGATTTTATAGTAAGTCTTCTATATAGGAACAAGTTTTGAGAAGTGTGTATTTTAAGTCCAATTTGTTTAATAAATCCAACAAAGTTAGCCTAGGTACCCAACTAACACAACTGGCTATAGAGTACTATACTAATAGGTTTATAATAGTTTTCACACACACAATTAAAAAACAAGCAAAAAATAAAACACTTTGAACCTTACAGCACGGTACCTTGAAAAGTAGTACAGAATACCAGCTGGCATGCAGGGACAGGTATCAAGTGAACAGGCAAGAGTCACTGCAGGAGGGAGAAAGGAGGTGGGAGACGGTAGAGCTGAAGGATCAACAGCACCAACAGATGGAGGGTGAGCTGCGATTTCACTCACGCCGGATGTTGATGGAGTGCACGTTCGCAGCTCTGAAAGTTCACAACTTGGAAAGTTCACATGTAGGGAACTTAATGCACTAAAAAAATAACTACGTAGCTTGCTATCCTATTTTATAGCAGGGTTTCTCAACAATGACACTATAGTCATTTGGGGCCAGTTAATTTTTGATGTGGGGGTTGTCCAGCGCATTGCAGTATCTTCAGCAGCATTGCTGGCCTCTACCCACGGTATGTCAGCAGCACCACATCCCTTCCTTCCCCATTCCGTGTGACTACCAAAAATGTTTCCATATTTTGCCAAATGTCCCCAGAGAGGCAAAATCTCTCTCCCTATTAATGATCACTGTTCTGAAAACAAGCGACTGGCCTCTCTGCACTTCATCTAAAATACATGTTGAGTAAAAGCAATATTAACAAGATGTGTTTTTAAATGCCACTGACATACTAGATTAACAGTTTAAAAAGTAAACTTTTAAAGAATGCATATGCCTAGCCCCTGCCTCAGAACAATGGAATGGAATCCCTTGAAGTAGGGCTTAAGTAATTTTGCCATGAATCTCCTAAGGTGACTATAAAACTTTTGGCACAGTTGAGAACCACTTTCTTAACAGATTACTTTCCCCATGAATATATGCTTTGAAATAGATTTCCACCAACTTTTCAAACACTAGTAGAGCATGAGGCATGTATTTGAGGAGGCTCACAGAAACTCTCAAATCCTAGCCATTAGGTGACCACCTATAGCCTATAACCATAAACAGTGGTATCTAATGTTTCTGATTGAAAAAAAATTCCTTTTCCTGAATCACTTTTAAAATAATGTAATTTCTTTCTGAATGATTATGTGGTAATCCTTCCAGCTAATTCTTGTAGCTAACTCATATATTCAATCTTTCTCTCATAAGGACATTTTCTATTGTGTCTGAAACACTCTAAATCTTTCACCTAAAAAAGAAAATTCATGAAAACCAGGAAAAGAAAAAAATCATATTCCCTTGCAAGCCAAAATCACCTGAAAGAGAAATTGAGGCTCACTTTTGCATTTATCACATTCTACTCCAATCTGGCTTCTAGGCTTATTATTCCAATAAAATGTTAATAGTTCTTGCTAAGGTAACTGAAGACTACCATGGTAATAAATCCAGTGGATATTGTTCTGGTCTTATTTCAATAACATCTCAACAGCACTGGATACTACTCACCACTCCTTCTCTGAAGCACTTAGGCCTTTGTCCTCCACTGCACACCCTTCTGACATCTGCAACTCCTTATCCAGCTAATATTCCTCTACCTAGCCAAAAATTAACTGAAGTTCTTCATTATACACTCCAAGGCTGTCTTCCAAGCCAAGTTCACGTACATCAAAGATTTTATCTACCCCTTACACACTTAACAGTTTCTATTTTCAGTCCAGATCTCCTCCTCAGGTCCAGACTTCTATTCAAAAGCTGCTTGGATGACTTAAAAAGAGGAGAAACTCAATTCTAAATCATCTCCACACATATCCATTTCTAAACATACTGCTATTCAACTCCATCCCACTGTATGTACAGCTTCTCTCCTTGCCCAACACTGAATCCCAAATGCATCAACAAATCCTATGGACACTTTCTCCCAAATCTACTTTCTCTACTTCCACACTATTACTCTGGTTCAGTAAAGTTATTGCTAATCTTTTAGACTCTTAATTCGAGAATATTGTGT